GCCATGTGAAGGGAAGGCTGGCAGAGCGACAGGCACACTTGTTTAAGATCCCCCGCTCTCTTCCATGACTCCTACCAGGCTCGCTGGAGGTTGGCCGATGGTGCAGGAGGCCGGTGGTCGTTCACCTCACCCTCCCCACAGGCTCCATCATTCTGGGTACAGGCACACAGTAAACCTGTGCACTATCCTGGACTTAATTTGCTTGGGAACACTTACTGAATACATGAATCCATGGATCAAAAAGTCTGCCCGACTGGTGGCAAGTCATAACAACAACTGCCGTACATGCTTCCTGCCCCAGTTAATGCAGWTGCCGAGGGTACTGCCCACAGCTTTTCCTTGGAATTCCCACTTACAAGAACACCAGCAGACACTCCCAGGCAGTAGGACCCAGTATGTATTTCACCTTGGCATACCCTGCCAAAGAACTAGAGATAAAGGGAATTACTGAATGCTATAACCTTGCCCGTAGATGTCCTGTCACAAACTAGGGGAAAAAAAATCCTCTACTCCCACACTCAGTACAAATTATCATGGTTTTTAAGATAAACTCTAGCAGAAAAGTGCGGGACAAAACAATCTTGTTTCTAATTTCCTAAAGTTAAAAAACTAAACGGTAGAGCCCTCTTCTCAACATAATCAAAGATTTGCCCTTTCAAAACGTGCTGCTCTAATTTCACAGAATGTCCCCCTATTCACAGAATCACAGGGTCATGGCACGATTGAAATGGAATTATCCTCATCCCGAGGATACAACTAACAGAACAAAAACTTCTGAATTACTTTTTCTACAACATTCAACCATTCTGTATATAAATGTATTTCATCATATTTATTGCTTTTCAAATGGTAAACAATTTAACTTATTCCATTTCTCTTTAGCTATTTTCTGCCTCCACAAATCACTCCTTTAGCCTTTTCCTCCAGGTCGCCTCTCGCTCTACTTCACACGAGGTACTGAGCACCAGGTACTCTCTGATGACATACAATATGGTGGCRAGATAATGAATTTACGTACAGCATTTCAGTTCCTATGCTATTCTCCATACTTTTCATTTACTCTGATTCCAAGAACAAACTCAGAGATGTCAGGAATTAACAGAGCTCTCAAAAATCAAGATTCCTAACACAGTCCCCTACTTAGATTAGATGTCATCATGAATATTTGAAGATACTGATCACTTCAGACCAAGCTGTGACTACCCCGGACTGCAGATAAATGAACTTTTCACCATGAGGCCAGAGTGACGAGGTATCCCTGTGCACAGCAACAGGTACATAATGCAACACAGTCAACCTGCCCTGACAAAAATATATGCTCTAGAAGAAAACAAAACACAAACATGTAAGAAAAACATTTTACGTTCCATTTACAAAAACCATAGCAACATGTATAGTAACCATAAAACATCCCTGAATTAATTACTAAGATACTCTAAAATAAACACCCTATTAATCCTAAAGGGATAAATATCTAGCTCAAACTAGCTAGAAGCTTCCAAGAAAAAGGCTCCTCTAAAGATATTCAGTCATAACTGCCCACAGCTATTTTTAACCTGAAAGCTAAAAATAAGAAAAATCAAAAGACCTCAGACTGTCTCTTTTGACGATCAGAAAGAGCTATGTAAAGTTTATTTAATATTGTGATTCTGGGAAGAACCTAATAGAGTGATCCACTCAACTCTCCATGCATAAACATTTTGCTAAGAAAAAAAAAAAAAAGCATTTCTGAAAGTAACAAAAAATGGCTGAAGGCATTTAGGTGGTCTCAGTTTCTGTACTCAACTGTGGAGCAGTGCTTTCCGCCCAAATCCTATAACAATTTGTTTTTCTTCTTTCAGTAAAACCTCAAAATTTGCTGCTGACAACAATGATAAAACCCACTGATGAGCCAAAATATTACTTTGGGATTTTTTTTTTTCTAGTAATAGTAATATAAGTGCTTGAATCACMACATGCATAGCATGCTTATACACATTTTAGATGGACCCTTTTTGATTCCCTAACAGTATTTAGGAGTTCACATGCTGTCCCTTAAAAAATGATTTTAGGAGTAATTAACAATATTTAATTTTTACTTGCATATTTCCTGAATACATAGGACGCATTTTATTTCTTCAGCACCTGTTTTGATTGAGCTGAGAAAGACCAAGACGTGCCAGAAGTTCAAGTCTTGCTACACAAGTGCTACTCGACGGAAATGGCAAGCTTGAACACATAGGCACTTGCAAAATACAGGCAGACTGAAACCTCACTTGAGAAAACCAACCAGAGAAGAAAGCAAAACAGAAACCAACCAGAGAAGAAAAACAAACAAAAAACCTAAATTCAGTTTTATATCCTTTATTATTTAAAATCATGTATATCAGAAGACAGGAGCACGCTCAAAGTTGTACAAAGCAGCAACAAGAACATCTTCGTACTCAGGGCTCACCCAGGAGAGCACACACATACAGGAAAGGTGAGCTGGGAAAGATGCACGTGTGCAACAYACAGCACACTGGAGCGAGCTGTATCCAACCCGACTGAAGTAGCCATAGTTTAAGAGGAAAGTTCTTCCTAGGGAAAGGTCCTTACAAAAGGAGAGAATCCCTTCCAACTGTCTCTTAGAGTGGATGAAAAACACACCAAGYGCAAGGTCACACTTGCACATTTATCCTCGTTGGTTTCTGCCCTCCCTTTTTTTTCCCCCTTGGGTCAGGGGCGGGGGAAGAAGTGCTGTACAACTCCTGAACGGCTCCTTCAAACCTCGCAGCCTTCAGTTCCTCATACATCTGGCTTTACAACTTGGCACTGACTGGCACGTTGGTCACAGAAACATTTCCTTACTCTAACATCAACCAAAGAGCAACAATTCTCCACGAAGCCCAAATTTAGAACCAATGGACCATGTTACAGTCCAAATGGATTTCAGCAATATGCCCTGTATGTCAGACACACACAATTTCATTTCCTCCCCAACTCTTACACCTACTTGAAGCAAAGACTTTCTGATCTGCTTTTCCATCTCATTTGCACCTGCAGATCTTGGCAAATACCCAAACAGGACACAAGAATACTCCCATTCTCCCCAGAGATTTGCACCAGAGGCATTTCAGCAGGACAGGGATACTCCAGCTTCAAACATTATCTCAGCACGACTCCCTCTTGGCAATAAGCAAGAGATTTTTTTTCCTAAACCAAAAATCTTGTTTTAGACTTTTCTGAAGAACAATCAGGTTCTTTAGCTAGAGAATGAAAATAAAGAAGGCTTGCACAGAAACTACTACGCACTGAAAGTCACTTCTTTTAAAAAACTATATATTAATTCTTCAGTACGGCATAGYTTAATTTGTGTGCTGAGAAAACATATGAAAAATAATTATTCTGGAGGGGAAAGAAAAAGCAAACCACAGAGTCTAAGTTTTCTAAACAATAACAACCACAAATGAAGTGGCCACAGAGCACTATATCTCTGACAGATGCACTGAGCTACACACTGCACTCTTTCCTTTCCATGTGTGCTGTAGCTGTGAGCACACTACTGCTCAGTGCTCTCTCAGGTGCAGGACACTGAGGAGCTTCCCTTCAGGCAAGGCCTTCAGTACCCTGCACCCCTCAAAAACTTGGCAAAACGAAGTAAAGACAAAAAGAATTTGTAAAGACTACGTGATAAAGTAATTCTTTCCTAATTTGATAAAGAGACAAGAGACCAACCAAAGGTAGTCTCTCCTTAACTTACAGAATTTTCTACCCTTGTTTAACAGCAGCACAGCACAACTGCTCCACAACTAAGTTTACAGAGTTTATGTTTTTCATATCAGTTAGTACATTAAAATGTACCAGCCCACAAGCTGTGATATTTTTCCTACATTGCTTATGMCAAAATAAAAAGAGTCACACTTAAGCTTGAACACTATTTACACTCAGTTTAATCAGATTATTAAGGTCAAACCAATACCAGAAATACTGTAACATATTAAGTCAAAGGCACAACTAGCAAACTCACACGAAGTGTGGGATGGTTGATACCCAGCTACACTGTGCCTTTTCAAGAACTGTGCAAGTATGCAAAGATTGATAGTAATACAGAATGGTTGGTCACACCGGTAAGATAAAGTAGCGAAGCAAGAGTGATTATAACTTTTTATTCTCAAAATTTAACCAAGCATTGAAGAACATACATATTTTAACATTTACACCATGCACAGTTTACAGCTTTAATAACAACATGCAAATATACTTCATGAGAAAATTAWATATTATCCAAGCATAACTGTAACATAACTGTTCTGTTATTTGCCACTGTTTGTTTTTATACACTTTTTTTTWAAACATAAAACATTTCATAGTTCTCTATCAGTCCATTCTAGCAATAAACTGAAGCATTAAACTTAAGTAAATAAGGACRAGATCTTTACTTGACTTCGTATGAGGATAAGGATCAAAAATTATCTTTTACTTCTGCTGAATAACTATTAATACCTTTTATGGAAATGCTGAACACAAATTATTTTACTGCAGAACTCTCCCATTGGAGCACACTCTCAGTGACATCAAAGCAAGAAACAAAACAAACAAAACTGCCTACTTGATCAAAACAGATATGAAGAACAAGTCTTTTTCTTCTCTGGTTCCATTTCAACAAAATATTGAAGACTCAAACACTCAGTGTTATTTTCTAGGTCGAATTTTACGAAACAGAATAGAGAGACTCCTTAGGGAAAGGCCCCATTCAAAATCTGCCATTCAGAGACTGCAGAACTGAAATGTGTTGGGTGCCTAAGGCTGCCTGCTTGCACCCCACTACCCTGGGGTAAACGTGTGCCATTTACCTCAACCCCAAGGTAAGCAACCTACATCCATCCGTAGAAACAGGGGGCTTGTTATGAAACTTCTGACTGACAGACCTAGGTATCAAATATCTCACCCTACATCATTTCCTTCTGTTCAGAGAGATATAGAAATAAAAAACAGAATATTCTGCAAGGAGAAGAACTGTATTCTTTTAGTGTACCTACCTTACACATCCTCTTGCTGCTATGGCCAATTAAATACTTCAACCATCTTAATTCCTGTTTTAAGGGAAAAAAAAAAGTCCCAATATCTCAGGAAACACATTTAGAAAAGGACAAAAATTATACTAAGAGAGAAACAAAGATACATAAACTTTAGAGAGTAATAAATACTCAAATGATAGTGCTAATGATGTTCTGAAGCTTACTATACACTAATAGTACATTAAATAAGAAATTAGTCACAGCTACTTGATGATGAAGTTAACTGATGAAGTTACATCCTGATTTGAGTACTTATTTTAAAAGTTCTGTACATTGCTAGAACTGTAACTGCGGTTACATTTTTAGCTATTAGAACATGGCATTTTCACCATTTCTTCAGCAACCTCATAGCCTGACAACATGCATCTCAAGTAGAGACAAATAAAACTATAAAACTATGACATTTTTATATAAACATTTAAAGCAACTTCCATAAATGGCATATTACCTCAGTACATTAAAATCCTGAAAACAGCCCCAGGCACAGGACAATATTCTGTTCGTTTAATTCAGCATAACCACTGAACCTGTACATTGAAAATATAAATGAAAATCACTACATATATCTAAAGTTCCATATGAGAATGCGAGAAGTGTATCACCACTTCCTTCCACTGTCATTACTAGCTCCAGTACCCTCAAAAATAAGATACAAAAGGATGCACAGGAAATCTACATTTCCTTTGTGAATTCTTCAAATAGTTTAATTACCTTTTAATTACTTACCTTAAAAAAAAAAACTATTACTTTAACACTGGAAGCCCAGTATTTGGGTTGTGGAATAAGTCTATTAGGTTGCCTATAAGCCTAGGCACATTATAAGCCTATATGCAGCTTCATAGCTTTCTATGTGATGGCAGGGAGTTGTGCATCGACTTTTTTTCATCTTTTTGTTATAGAAGAATTACAGGACAATTATAAAAATGATAATTGTACAAAAGGCCACTAATTACATCATACTACGATGTCAAATAAATCAATAGAAACAAATTTTAAAAAACCCTCAACTAAGGCAGCATTCAAGGGCTAGGCTGTTGGCAGAGACCCCTCCACTCGCTTTGCCCACACTGAAAAGCTTCCGTGTGAAATGGCTGAGATGAAATACAGAGCYGAGATGAAACACCGTCAAGCGGCGGCCCCATCCAGCCCATCCCGGGGCTGCGACCGAGCGGCTGCGGCCCCGGGGGCGCGCAAAGCGCCGGGGCTGCGCGAGGGCCCCGGGCGCGGCCGCACGGGGCCACGGGGAGGGCGGATGGGCCACGCGACGTGACACGCGCCCGCGCCGCCTGCGGAACGGCAAC